GTGATGGCTAGACGACTGGGTCAGAGCATCTCCAAAACTGCAGCTCTGGTGAGGTGTTTCCAGTCTGCAGTAGTCAGTACCTCTTTAAAGTGGTCCAAGGAAGGAAAAGCGGTGAACCAGAGACAGGGTCATGGACGGCCAAGATTTACTAATGCACGTTTGCTGAAAAGGTTAATGCTGGTTCTGATAGAAAGGTGTCAGAACACACAGTGCATCACAGTTTGTTGCATATTGGGCTGCATAACATCATGACCACCAGCGTGCCATGCCATCATAATGTTATGCCTGATCGGTTTATATTTATTCTATAAAATGATATATAGCTAAACTGCTCACCTATCAGCTCAGGTTTGTGGCCTGTCATCAGCTGATAGAAGATGTGGTAGCTCCTTTCAGCAGACAGCTGGAACGTCACTCGAGACTTCTCCAGCAAATCTGTAAAGAAAGCAGGAAGCTAGTTTACAGGTTGTCCTTTCATCAAAACTTCAGGATAATGGAGATAATGAAAGGCTGGAACCCTTACATGTTTCAATATCAGCTGAAGCCAACTTTCCAGTTGATCCAAAATGGATTCTGATAAATTTACCCTACAAAAGAATGCAGTTATCAGTGTGGGCATATTTGTGAGTCACTCTCCTAGTACAGGTGCCTTACACTTGGTATTAATGTTGTTATTTGAATCCTATTGCAGAACTTTCCACTTGCAAAAACATATAGGGCTATATTAACACCAGCATATATAAAGACAAATGGAAATACGTAGGATAGAAGACTAGCAAACCATCTTAAACACAATTTTAAAGCATTACGATTTTGTGAAACCAAAACTTACAAAGCGGGATGAGTTGTCATTCCTCACAGTTTTGGCATTACCATAAGCCTCCAGTAGGGGGTTGGCTGCAATGATTTGATCCTCCAGTGACCCCTTAAAACAATGTTACATGACATGTGTTTGTATTTACATTTTCATAGATAATAATACACATGTACAGTTTATCACATTATTAACCTGCATCTTTCCTTGCTCTGCTTTCTTTGCTCCAGACACTGCGATTGTCGCAAAGTACTGGATGACACGTTTTGTGTTGACAGTCTTTCCAGCGCCGGATTCTCCGCTAAAATGCAGACAGTTATATGACACGCGTTGGTGTAAGTCAGACATAATACAGTACAGAAATAATCAGTCTGAGTTATATCAGTCTAGAATAACTCTCTTAAGCCAAAGACTTACGTAATCAGGATTGACTGATTCTCATTATCTGTTGAGAGAATGACATTTGAACACACATACTGTATTATTGCATTCATTTTTCTTTTATAGTATGATTGAATTATACATTTTAATATTACAGAAGTCAAAGTGTCACCTTAAACTGTGTGTTTATAAGTGACAACAAACTGTTATCTGCTATAGATATCAAAACAGTGCATCACTTTAAAAGGCTGGCTCCTCTTATAGATTGGCTTCTCAGGAAAGATTGTAGATAAAAAACTGATTGATACCTTGGAGCATGAACTGATAGGCATTGTCTGAGATGGAGAAGATGTGGGGTGGAGCCTCAATCCTCTTTTTGCCTCTGTATGCTGATACAACCACTGAGTCGTACACTGGGAGCCACTTGTAGGGGTTCACAGTGACACAGAACAGCCCTGAGTAGGTCTGTGGAGACAGAGAGGATTTTTACCACTACACATCTTTTTGTAGTCATGTTTTTATCTACTGATGTGATGATCAGGTCAAACTCACGTAGATCATCCATGCTGCATAACGCTCTTTGAGGTTATACAGCACAGAAGGCTCGCTGAGGTGGGTCATCATGGCCATGTCCTCAATCTTATCGAACTTTGGAGGATTCATGGGGAAGATGTCATCGTCCTTTACAGTAAGGGTCTGCAACAAAATAGTGAAGAATTACTTCTAAGAATGTGCACCATTATAAAATAAAGTTTGAGAATTTCCTTTACTTGTGTTAACTGTTTTATATGACAATAGATGTCTACATACCTTGCCGCCATCAATTTCAACTGTGGCTTTGCCACCCTCCTTCTTCACTAGTTTCCCCTTCAGATACATCTGAGATGGCTCCACCACGTAAAAAGCTATTTTGGCATCAAAGGGAGTGTTTTGAGCCTCTATTCTCTCCCTTTCAGATTTCCGGAGGTAAATGGCCGCCGGGCCAAAACACTCCATTTCTGCGTCCGAACTCATGGCAGCTGTCTTAAAATAATAAAAGTACAAATTAAAGAATACAATTTTCAATTGATGGCTAATTAATATAATATATATATATAAATAATATCTTTAATTTGAGTTGATACCCTTTATTAAGTCAAGTCACTATATGCATGAATGTCTTTACCTATTATGTTCCCAAGTGATGCAGCTGTTTCGTGGATACTAAAAAAAAAAGAAAAGAAAAACATGCAAGCCTTACTAAAGCAACATTTTGCAATTGTGACAAAGAACTACTTTTGAAAAAATACTAAAAGCACTGATCACTGCAGTGTGATAAAAGACTCACCTCTGTTGGCAGCTTGTCAGTCCACAACCTTTGACGAGTCCGGGAGTGCTTCTTTTATACTGAAATCTCCGGACACCATGGAGGAGCAGCCCTCCTGTTTAGGTCACTGAGCTTCTCTTAGAAGAACGATATCAGATGGCCCCATCACCCCAACGGGTGACACCCTATCCTGTACAATACAAAAACAAATATTAAATTAAACCCCAGATCAGAATTGCAGGTTCCTGTCAAAAACCCAACAAATACTCTGCAGTTTAACACCTCAATATGTCCTACTTTGTACAAGTGGTTCAACTTGAAGGAATAAGTGGTATACAGTATTTACTGTATTTCTGAGCTACTATAGGACTTTTTTGTACAAATGAAAATCAGGAATTAAGCTACTACTCAATATCTTACTCAATGTGGGCCAGAAACTATTTTTATGGGATCATGTTTTCGATCTACATGCACAAATTTAAGTCTGTTATGCCATCAAACAAACCTTTGGCAGTGACATTGTTTCAAGCATCTCTTGAGAATAGGACCAAGTGTTTAGTCGAGGCTAATTTAGGATCCCATTATGGTCCATTATACTGTTGTGCTTTCTCTCCAAAGAAAGATGACACCTAGACTGCTGTGAAAGTATTCTCTTGTGGTGTGATTGAGTTGCAATAAAAGGCGATATTCAATATGTCTGGCCTCTCTTTACAGTCTTATTAGGACTTAAAGCAAATATAGCCTCCAGCTCACAAATGCCCAAGCTCTTACTTTTGCAATTGTTGACAAATGCATTGAACGCTTCTGTTAATTACATGTCGGATGTATTTCAGCATACTGTTACTAAGCACCTCCAAAGAAATTCCAGCCTGTAAAGCTGCTTATTCCTGTATCAGTATTGTGACTAAGTCATAAACTCACTAAGTTGAATTTAGTTAGGTTCTGTATCGTGGTAAGAAGAGATCTGTAGAAGTATGATTCTCTTCCTCTGTAGTTTGATGAGTTTGATGGGTGCATGGTGTTAGCATTGCTTATTGTTTGGTTCCCGTTGGGGCCTCTGATGCTACACCCAAAATGAGGTATGTGTTACTGTGTGGTTCATGGTTCATGTATACTTTACAGAAAGAAAAATGCTATTTATCTTTCCTAACTGTTGTAACTGAGTAAGTGCAGTGCACTGGTTGACACTCGGAGACGGTGGTGATAATAATGGTCAGATGAACTATTCATCATACCATTTCAGTCAGAAAAATATAATATTGGAGAACAGAAATTATGCAATGAGAATTTCTTTTGGTTTCTCAGTTACCATTAATATCCATCATCATTTTGTGCAGAGTTTCCTGTACAGCTTCAGTAAATATCCATTTGCAATAACGTTTTGAGTATGTTACCATTATAGTTATATGAAATTATGTTTATTGTGTTGTGTAAGTCAGTACTGTAATGACCAGTGTGTTGTTAATGTGAGTAAGAAGAAAACAGGAAGAGAAAAGGTAGGGAATCTGGTAAACACGAGTAAAACTCTTTGCACTCTACAACAGGACGGGGACAGGTCTCTAAGTGAAGCAAATGAAATACCTTGGAAGCTCACTTTCACATATAAGATTAAAAGAGATAGATAGGGTGCAGCTGCGCTAATTTCATATTACCCACACATAAAAACGTAGCCAATATAATTCTCTACGCTAAAAAAAACTCAAGTGGTTGGCTATTACAGCATGCTCTATTTTCTGAATTGGTTTGATTATAAGCCCTCAACTAATGAAAACAGATTAACAGCTTGTCTGCTTAATAGACCACCTGTTGGGTTAGGTAAACAGTGTCAGGTTTTCATGGAGGCCAAGATATTTTTGAATTCCAAAACATCTAATATTCTCTTGTGTGTAATAAATAAGACATCTATGTGCAGGTGTTAAGCAGCACATTGTGAATTGTGTGTGTGCGTAGGTGTGTGTGTGTGTGTGTGTGTGTGTGTGTGTGTGTGTGTTACTATGCACTGTTGTGTGACAGACAAATTCCTATTAGTAAGGGCAGAAAGGGAGTGAGGAAAGAGAGGAGAAAGGGAGCAATGTTTTTCTCTGCTGTTTTCTTGAGTCGATTCACGGTTTTGAATTGTGTTGTAACACTCAAAGTTCAAGTAAGTTAAATACTTTTAAAATTTATGAGTGGGCCTTCACATTTTTTGTCAACACCTGTGTAATAACATACTTATCATGGTATTGTCTGTATTTAGATTTAGTGTATTACTTATAATATTGAAGTGGTTACCTGTAAAGGTTAAAACTCTAAGCATGACCTTTTTGTTGATTGATGGATGATGCAGAGATGTTTGAGTTGACTGCACCATGTTTGATTTGCTTTTCAGAATCAAGAATCAAGAATCATATTAAGATCATCTTAATATAGATTTCATTTGAGACATTGTAAAATCTTAAGCACACTAAAACAAACACATAAACATATACACAATATAGATGTCACTTCCAGACACGTGAAATTCCTCTACTTTTCTATTTATCATATGCTGAAAAAATATGCAAAACTCAATACTCACATTCTCACATGAATATAACACAGTACTGAAACTCACTTAATAACAATGTCAGGTTAAAGGTGGTTGCTGAGTAATGATGTGCGCGTGTGGGTATGTATTTGTTATTAATGCATGGATTACATTAAGGGCATTTAATGTTTTGTTTACTACAACTCTGGTTGAGGTTAAACTATCAAAGTACAGTATTTCATTAAGATTAGGGTGGGGCCTAGGTCATATTTCGCTAGAGTTTTAAACTACAGTCATCCAAAAATGGAATGAGTTGTGAGTGGCGTATACTGCCACCAGAGCCACAACACATTTTTATATCAAACCAAAAATATTTTCTCAGTTGTTGAATGATGCACATTTGTGGATTTCATAAAAAGTCAAGTGAGCACATTCAGGCAAGTGCGGATATAAGGTGAAGGTAAGAACCTGATGTCAAGACATTTCATGAAATCAGCATCATGTCTTGAAGGTCCAGTGTGTAGGATTTAGGGGCATCCAGCGGTTTGGTTGCAGACTGCAAGCGTGTAGGATCCACAGTGGCCACAAAATGTGCAAAAAACGTGAACAGCCCTATAAAGTTTGTCCATTCTGAGCTACTGCGGAAACATGGTGGGTGGAAGGCGACCCGCGGCATCTGTAGATACAAAAGGCTCATTCTAATTTAACAATGAATGTACACCAATTTTAACATAGTTACGCATATTATAATCCATTTGTGCCAACATATCCTCTTAAATGTTACACACTGAACATTTAAAATGTAAATACATACATACATACATTGTCTATATTTGCTATTCAGCAATTGAAGTTTGTTTAGTTTGTTGACCCGAGAATCAGGTAACTCCTACGAATTTAAGCTCATTCTAGATCTCCCTGAAGAGAGTACGCGAGTACACGAGGCTGTCAGTGTTTGACTCTTTATGAATTAATTTGAGTGAGTTAAGTGAGTTAAGTGAGTGACAAGCTAAGTCACAGTGAGGTTTCAAATAAGGAGTTTTCTACATAAGAGATGTTTTGACTATTGAATATACTCTTGTGTTTTTGTGTGTCCATCCATAATTGACTACCAGTTTAAGTATATAACGTTTTTTTTCAGAAATGCATTTTTATAGAATCCCTTAAACTTAATTTATTAATTATAATCTAATTCAAATTACTTCTAAATCTTCTTTATACCCACAATAAATAATGGGCATATCAAACCAATATAGTCAGTTGCCTCTGGTTAGTCAGTATAAAACATCATGTTCAACTTCAATATATTTATTCTTTAATTTTATAGTTTACAGTAGTTGTGGATTTCTTGCTTCATCTTGTATTTAGTAGTAGATTAATTCATATATTAATGTGTTTATAATTCTGGAATAATTCTATACCCTACAGGTAAGTGGTTCTCCACACTGGAATACAGATGAGTGATCCAGTTCTTCACTTTGCCCATTTATAAATCAGCCTTCAGTCAACCTGCTGCCACCCTCTGGCTTTCTCCCTGTGTGTGTGTGTGTGTGTGTGTGTGTGTGTGTGTGTGTGTGTGTGTGTGTGTGTGTGTGTGTGTGTGTGTGTGTGTGTGTGTGTGTGTGTGTTTGTGTGTGTGTGTCAGTGGACAGCAGACAGATGTGCTGGAGTCTCTAATCAGCTTTTCCACTTCCACTCTGCCATGTTGTTCCACTGCCTCCCCTGCAGTCCCGTCTGCTCTAGTTCTGGTCTGTCTGCAGCCCCTCATCTCATCAGCCCTGCTTCCCCACTCTCTTCCCAGCCTTAACAATAAATACTTTGTTTCTACCACATCCATGTCTTCTCGCCTTGAGTGTCTGGACTTGGACTTGAATTTTATAGACAGCCAATTAACTTGTTCATCCCTTGAGTCATGGATAACAATGCAAATAAAGGTTATTTAGATGATCTGTTGATAATTGTTGGTATTATTTCGCTTCATAATTGTATATTTTTTACTTAGTCCTAACAGAGTGTTATACCTTCAGCTATCTCTCAAACTTTTATTTGTTTCCATCAGTTGTCATGGATTAGAGGATGTTCCATCTCACTCAGGTCTAGTTTCCTCTTCTTCTTCCACTTCCTGTGTACTGTAGGTAAGGAATAATATCAGTTGTTTGTTAGGTAGTTTTATTGGTTGGAAAAGTGCATATCTAGTAAAAATGTACATGGCATTTAACAAGCTAATAACATAGGAACAACAATGTTCACTGTGCATTTAAAACAATTTATTTTCTACTTAGTAACTATGAAATTGTCTAAAAGGACACTCAATCTATTTTACACAAGACGTTTGATTTAAGAGGAGTAAAACACAGCCTGTGGAAACAGGTGTACACTGTCTTCTGGGGCTTGGAGCTTGATCCATACAAGGGACTAAAAGTCAGGATATATTTTTAGTTGCTGCTCTGGTTTGGACCCTTCCTCTTTAAAAACAATTATCACATGCTCTTATGAACATTAAAACAGTGAACAATGTCAGGGGAAACACAAAGAGGGAATAGAGTTTGTCTTCAATCACTTACATTGGAAGCCCATTAGAAAGGAATCTCTTAATGTCGGTTTGAACAGGAGGAATGATTACAGCAAGCAATAACTGTTTCAATGTACAAATGGGCATGTGAGCACTTGAATTGAATAACTGGGAATATATCCCTATTGTGAGTTCTCAATATTAAGCAAGTGAAAAACTAAATCGCTTGAGTAACCCTTTAAGAACCCTTTAACATAACTTCCATGCTCATTACTGCCTCCTTGGGGCAGACAGGCTACTGATGCCTGAGTTTTCATACAGGGTATATCACATTAGTTGCATACAGTAGGTCACACATAACCATGTTGTGACAGAACTCTCCTACTGGCTATACAGGTTTCTTTTTAGTTAAATATTTCAAATAAACAAAAAGGTGATAAAAAGCTTCCCAATATGCATTTAAATGAGCTGAAATTTAATTTCACTGTGAATACTTCACCATATATGAAATTACATAATACAACAGTGAAGTAATGAGTAAGCAAATACAACCAAAGAGTTTCTTAAGGAAAGCAATTAATATAATTTTATTTTCTGCACATCCATATTTGTAAGATCAATGTGTGTAAGCAATATCAGTGGGTTCAGAACTCTTACTAAATAAAAAAATAACATATATACGAAAGAATTTCAAAGCACCTGCAGTGAAAAGCACAAGCAAAGAGACAAACAGCAAAGTGCATGTAGGCACTACAATTTCTAAACATGCATCATAAGAATATAAATCTAGACCTCTAAGTATTGTCATACCATATTTTAAAAGGGTTATGATGGACTGTCCAGAGTGTTTCCCTGCCTTCTTTCCAATGTTTGCTGGGATAGATTCGAACATGCCTTTGGGACCCTGAATAGGAACAAAGTAAAACATATGTGAATTAATATTATAAATGGGTATGTACAATTTTGTATCAATGACACATCATTTTAAAATACTTAACTTACTATGTAATGTCCTCAATATGAGCTGGTGACAAGATGTAATGTTAAGGGACCAGAGTATGATGATGATGATGATCATGATAGAGAAGATGGTAATATAAGCTACATGTTTACACCTTAGAAACTTGAGGCTCCCTCTTGTGTTTATAAGATGCCAGTGACCCCCACCAACAACATTAGTACACACACATCCTTGTGATAGTCATTAGCACTGCCAGCAACTGACAGCAACCACCCTGAGTGTGTTCATAAGGAAAGATTTGTTTCAAGTTACTGCACAAAGGTTTCTATTCAGGTATCCATTTGGCATCACCCATATATTACACATAGGCCAATTACAGTGTGTCTTGAACAATTTCAAACATAATTTGCTCAGTGACTAAATGGTGCCAAATTTCACTTTCAAAAATATCATGTATGACTAATAAGACTGCTGGAGACAGATCCATCCACAGATCCAACACACATCTCACCATTTCACACCCTAGTCCCAGGAGCTTCTGCAAGATGGACAAGTAGCAAGTGTCAAAATCCAATACTGAGAACTACTAACTTTAGCCAACAAACATTAAACCTTGTCAAAAACAAAAAGTTCTGACATTCATTAAAACACAAAAATTACAGCAATTCCAGTCACTGGTTGTTGGAGCAGTATTTGAGTACAGCATAGAAAGATTCGAAGACAACATTGCAATGTGCATCCTGAAGTATGAATGACACCAAAGCAACTTAATAAAGCAGTTCATTAAAAGACAAAATACATTGAGGCTGCTCAGAGAGTGACCTTGACATACAGCATGCGTCCATGTTTTAAAACCTAAAAAACGTGGGAGGTTACACGTTTTATTTTACCATTCAAAAACCAACCAAGTACGATTCCAAATAGTCTAAATGACTGCCAAATCACAACATCAAAATCGGTGTTTAAAAGTCAGTCCATAGACAATTAGTGACAATAACTACTAGTGATGTTAGGTACACTAATGCCTCTCTATAGATAATAATGTTAGAAATTATAATAACGCAGGATCACAATTGCAATTCACAAATATATTTAAAATGTTTGAAATATACTAAAAACACATGTACTTACAATGGTAAACATAGATGCTACTGTTACTGTACATGTATATCCATGCTCTTTGTCAGCAGCTTGTAGACTGGAATGTTACTCAACACTCACCTTGGTTTGTTATCCCGAGTCCAGTTGTTTCTGCTTGACAAATGGAGAAACTGACAGACGGAGAGATCAAAGGCCATAAAAACACAATAAGCCTCTTGAGCATGTGGCATTTGGTATGAGCATCAATACAAGCCTGATGCTATATTTGAGTTTTGCCCTAATAAGACAGAAGATTTCAGAGCAGGTATCGTGTAACATTGAAGACAGAGGCTCATAATATCTTGTTGGTAACCACTTTAGAATTTCTTCTACTCTTTCCAGTCTTAACAGAACCTAATGGCTGTCTTGTCTACCCACACTGTTAAATTGTCCGGCTGTGTGCCACGCTCTTGGCAGAATAGTTTGGCTAGTTACACTTACCATCTATGAAAACATCTTCTGTCCCATCACATACTGTACACTTTTAATAAACAAAATGGCTTAGAACTGCGTGACATACCAAGCTCTGATGTACACAAAAACTCCTCACGTTGAGGTGATTCGCAAGATACAGGAAGTAGAGCAGGAATCCATCACTCATTTGTTCTACATTTAGGGACTGTCTCAGTCTCCCCTGTGTATCCTTTAAGACCAAGAATAAGAGCAGCTGTTGGCACTGTTGTGAGAAATAACCCTTTGGCAATCCTTCCTTTTCTTCCAAGCTCATTGGCACTCATTTAATTGTTCTAGTAACTTCTGACTTGTATGAACTCTGAAACAGTATACTACTGACTTTTTGAAGGTTCTCGAAAGCATCTCAAGGGGCTACTGTTGTGCCAGAGACCATAAAAAATATGCATTAGTCACACCTTTGGACTGCCTGTAACTACTGACTCAACCATGAACAAGGATGGAGCCAACTTCACATCTGTGCTTTATTTGCATACACCGAAGTATCCACAAGCAGAACCAACTTCACATTTGCATGCTACATTAGCATGTAATAAACTCTTACTATGTTTAAAACACACAGTATACAGTATACAGTATATATATATATATATATATATGTGTGTGTGTGTGTGTGTGTGTGTGTATCTCAAAATATTGCTCCCATTTTCACAATTTATGACAACAATTATTACAAAAAGCAATACTAAAGGCAACACAACAGCCTAAAAGATTTCTAATAATCACAGTAATATTATTATTTAAAAAAAAAAAACTAAATTCCCAACAAATATAAACCTGATATTAATATGGGATGGAAGACATCCCATAAACTTTGTAATGTGACAGCTAGAGGTAAGCTCTACCACTGCAAGTATTGCCAGACGACATGACCAAATACAGCAATACACAGACGATAGGCTCCCATCACTGTATATAAAAGGCACAGCAAACGTCCACCAGGGACAGGCACCAAGCAAAGGTAAGTTTCTTAGTGGCTCAGATGTGAGTAATTAAAACTTTTCAAATTCAAGATATTATACTTATAATACAAACATTTGTTTAAGTCAATATTGTTATTATAAAATATAGAAGATAAACATAAGACTACAAACAGATTTAAAGTCTTACCAGTATACTTATATTTTATTTTCCTCACCTTATCTTAAAATTAATTATGATAGAGAGAGACTCTCAGAGGTAGCCTTTGCGAACATTACATCTTTGTTTGCTTTTTTCAGAAGTCTGCATTGAAGTCTACAAGAAAACCCCCTGCTCACCTGGTGTTATCCAAGGTAAATTGGGCTTTGTCCTGGACAATACCTACTAATTACTCTACATGTAAAGGTTGCCCCCTGTGAACATCACAGTCATGTTAGTACTTTGTACAATATTCATTATTATTCATTTCAGTATAGTAGTAAAAGACATTCTAGAAGTCATTACTTGGACACCCATTCATCTGCTTTCCTGGCATTTTAATTGAATGACTATTGTCTTGTTTCCTTTTGTGCAGTAAAAGGTCATCATGCCGGACCCTGAAATGGAGTGTTTTGGCACGGCGGCCATGTACCTCCGCAAGCCAGAAAAAGAGCGACTTGAAGCTCAAAACACTCCCTTTGATGCTAAAACAGCGTACTTTGTGACTGAACCCAAGGAGATGTACCTCAAGGGGAAACTTGTTAAGAAAGAGGGTGGCAAAGCCACAGTGGAGACACTCTGTGGACAGGTGAGAATGAAGGCACTAGAATTAAATGTTTTACAGTGCTTAACATTTTTAATGTAGAATCCGGACTGCTGTGACATATGTTAACTATTTGACATGGTGATTTAAATCATTACTTAAATGGAGTGAAGCCTGCAAGCTAGTTCAGGCAGTCAACTCGAGCTGCACCGCTATACACACGACATGCCTCACACTCCATAATCACTAACCTGCCTGCTGTTCTGTAAGCTATTCAATAGCTATATCAATTTAACACTGAAGCCTGTATATGATCTACACATGAGACCATCGGTGAAAAGATTGGCTATTTTTACATAGTTATTCTTAATGCTTGCAGCCGGGTTGGGTTTGGTCAGATTCCCCTTAAAATCAATGAAACAAGGTGGTGGAAAGCACATGACTGCTGGACAGAAACTAAGCTTATTCCTATCCATCTTTTGTCTCTGTAACAGTCGATCACTGTAAAAGATACAGAAATCTTCCCCATGAACCCTCCAAAGTTCGATAAGATTGAGGACATGGCCATGATGACCCACCTCAGCGAGCCTTCTGTGCTGTATAACCTCAAAGAGCGTTATGCAGCATGGATGATCTACGTGAGTTTGACCTGATCATCACATCAGTAGATAAAAACATGACTACAAAAAGATGTGTGGTGGTAAAAATCCTCTCTGTCTCCACAGACCTACTCAGGGCTGTTCTGTGTCACTGTGAACCCCTACAAGTGGCTCCCAGTGTACGACTCAATGGTTGTATCAGGATACAGAGGCAAAAAGAGGATTGAGGCTCCACCCCACATCTTCTCCATCTCAGACAATGCCTATCAGTTCATGCTCCAAGGTATCATCAGTTTGTAACGTACTGTGTGTCCAGAAATACAGCAGCTGTACTTTAATTCCTAACTGTTGTACCCCATTTTGATGTCTTGCAGATAGAGAAAACCAGTCAATCCTGATTACGTAAGTGACAATTTTATGTTATCTATACTTGGCAGCAGTGGTAATATTAGTTATTTAAAATAATATTTATGAACACACCCTCAACCTAGCGGAGAATCCGGTGCAGGAAAGACCGTCAACACGAAGCGTGTCATCCAGTACTTTGCGACAATCGCAGTGGCTGGAGGAAAGAAAGAACAGGTTTCTAGCAAGATGCAGGTAAGAGAAGTTGAACAATATTAATATGAAAACTAAAATGAAGCAAAGCCGAGTATTGTCACATTGACAAAATGAATGCTATTTCTAGGGGTCACTGGAAGATCAAATTATTGCAGCAAACCCACTGCTGGAAGCTTATGGTAATGCCAAGACTGTAAGGAACGACAATTCTTCACGTTTTGTAAGTTCTTTTTAGGATCTCTCTTCACTTTGAAACTGTTTGCTATTTTGTGACAACAATCATTACCATGACATAAACTTAATACATTTATATCAATCTGTTTTTGCATAGGGAAAATTTATCAGAATTCACTTTGGGACAACAGGAAAGCTGGCTTCAGCTGATATTGAAACATGTAAGATTTTTTGTGGAACACATTGAGCAATATCTGTGTTATTACACTGTCAATTCTTTCGGCTGTTATGGCACAGGAGATATTCTTAAATTTTTTCACAACATAAATCCATACAGATCTGCTGGAGAAGTCTCGAGTGACGTTCCAGCTGTCTGCTGAGAGGAGCTACCACATCTTCTATCAGCTGATGACAGGCCACAAACCTGAGCTATTAGGTGTGAGATTCATAAATAATATTGTCTTCTTCTGGAATTGTTTTACAGCATGTAGTACAATAGCTTATAAATGACATTGTTGTATTTACATGTTTTACCCCATTTCCTCAGAGGCTCTCCTGATCACCAAAAATCCATATGACTATCACATGATCAGTCAGGGGGAAATCACTGTCAAGAGTATCGATGACATTGAAGAATTCATTGCTACTGATGTAAGGACAACCTCATTTTTATGACTGCACTTACAGCTATTACAAATCATATAGCTCTGCAATAAATC